GCTGCACTCTTTTTGTAACCCAAAAGATTGGCTAAGGTTCTTTTTTTTTATTTTGATCTTGTTAAAAGGAAATTATATTCTTACTTAAGTAATTTTATCAAATATCTACCTTTTTTCCTCCAGAATATCATTAGGTTGTACCAGGGATAATTATTACTGATTATTTTCTAATCCCGTGTCAATTAATCACTTATTTCCCTTGTCAAAGGATTTAATTTAAATCCTCAAGGTATCTGCTTCAATGGTTAGACTGCAACTACAATGGTACAGTCATATTTTATATACATCATCTCAATGTTGTCTCTGTGTTTCAAATAGTGGGTATATTAATGAAAATGGTTATTGTTAAAGACACCCTCTAAATAGAAGTCACTGTCCTATTTCTATTTCATATAGTTTAAGTCCTGTCATGGGAAGTTGTTTTATCCCCCAGAACTCATTTTCTTGGATATTTATTTTTAAATTTAACATAACGAAAAAAAAAAAATGTATGATTAAAAGAAGCAATCATCTTTTAGAAAATATTAAATTTTAAAGACCCTTTTTTACTTTAAATCTGGTATTTCATTGAGTTTGCCAGAATGAATTGTTCCTTTTTATCCTGGTTGAACCCTGAAATTGAATTGTTGTGAAAGTCTTTGTCTTAGCTAATATATCAAGTGGATTTATATATTTTGGGTTTCTTTTAACATTCAATATTTCCAATGCAAGCACTTTTTTTTTTGTGTCCAACTCATATGCTGTCTCAATTGTTCTAATGTAGATTAATCCATGGATTAAGTAATTGTGCTCCGTGGTGATTATCTTGAAAGGTTATAATAAGAGATTTGCTCAGATTATTAGTGCATCAACTATGGCTATTCTGAATGATGGAAATTTCTGTCTGGGTTAATGGGTTATGTTTTTCTTTATTAAATCAATAAATAACCACACTGTTCTGATTTTGGCCGTAGCCCTTTGGGTGCCAAATGAAGGCCTTTTTTGTTGACTTAACATTGTATCTGACAATAACAGTGGGGTTTTTTTTATTTTTTTTAAAGGTGCTATTTATATCACTAATTATTGCTTTGTTGCAGTTAGTGATTAAAAGTTTGCTTCAGCCAGAGCTACTTGTCTTTTTTTTTTTTTTTTTTTTTTTTTTCAGTTTTCTATCCCAATGAAATAACTGAAAATACCTTCATTTGTTTAAGTTTCTGATTGCAACTGAAAATAAGGATTATCTATAAAATGGTGTCAAATCTGCCAGTATATGTAGTTTGTGTGACAAATTGTTTTTCCAAAAAATAGTTAACCAGGGTATTTTTGGAAAATGACTTTTAGGCAGGCAGTCTTTATAATTACAGTGCTCAATATCATGGGATAGAGCACTTAATGAAAACTAGCCAAATCCATGTCTTATGAACATTTCTCTTAATAATAATTTAAACATAATTTGGCACAGTATTATTTTATTTTTGGTAACTGGATTTTCAATGATTGCCTTACTTGGTTTCCGTCATTTGACGCTGTTTGAAAAATGCTGCTTTTGTTTTAGTCACCATTGCCTCTGAGCCTTTTGACTAGAATCAAAGTGTAATATCTATTATCAGCTTTATCTGATTCTCTCTCTCCCCACTTATATCTTCTGTTTATCTTTTCCGTTTTTTTCACTGAAATCAAGTCTTTTCTTCTCTTTCCATGCGATCAAAACAGAAGAATCCATTATTTGAGGTATTGGCATGAGCGTAAAGGTCGTGCAAAGTAACGTTGGTGGAGCAGTGTCAGGCAAAATTATAATAGCATAATAATTTCCATGTTAGGTAGGGCTGTTTTAAAAGTTTTTATAAATTGGTGTAGGGAAGGGTTTTTTCTACTCATAGTTGATTAGTGGTATTTGATTTCTGTAGATGATTTAATATGTATGGAAAAACTTGCTGGGGTTGATTTAAGAATAATTGGAGTTTATATTATTGCATTAAAAAAAAATTAAAATGATCGAATGGTAACCTTTTAATCTGGTTTTAAATAAAGTGAGTATTTATTAAACAAATGATTTCTTACGCACACACACACATATATATATATATATATATATATATATATATATATATATATATATACACGTAAATCAAATTAAAAAATCACTTAGTACCTCCAAATAAATTCAAATAATCTTGCATCAAAAACTGTCTTTTTAAACAATTTCAAATAATTTTAAATCCTTGCCTATATTTTTTAAGTGTAAAAATAAATAAAAATGCTGTAACTGCCTGAAAGTTTATTTTGGAATCCTGTGAAATTATAGAAATAACCATTTTGTGTGTGTGTGTGTGTGAGATATATACACACACACTGTATAGCATTACTCCCCCCTCCCCTTATTGTAGTAGTAGGGATTTAGAAGCCTTAATAATATAAAGTCAGAAACCTTAAAGAAAAAATTCTGGTCTCCTTCAGTATTGAAACCGTAGTTTGAAATGTATTCAATAACTGATGGTATGTTTAAATCATAGAAGTCTTTTTTTGTAAGAGGGTTCTCTACAGTTGGCACCACTTAATATGTAACAGCCAAGCTGGAGTGTAAAAATATTTGAATGTATGTAGGTTGGAAACATTCCCTCAGATCTTGATAATCACCAGAAGTATAATTGAAAAGAGTCTCTATTATTGTAGATTTTGGCATTCATCACACCTAAGCATACATTTTCTTGTGTTTTGTCATCTTTTAGTCAAACTTCTTTCAGTGAAGGGTTACAGCCCAAAAGATGTCAAGTAGCCAGGTTTTGGCCATAAATTTTTCTGTCCCATTTTTTTCTTTTTTTAATACAACAGCAGTAAATCCAGACACAATGACAGCTCCTATATTCTTTTCTTTGTTAATAAATGTCATAGAGAGGTTAAAGTTTACATATTTTATTTATAAGTTAAAGGAGGATCACAAATGTCATGATTTTGTTTAGCTAACCTGAAGGGCATAAAATAAATGTCTGGTTTAGCATTCCTTTTACAATGTAAAATGATAGCAGCTCTTACCTGTTTTTAGAATTCTCAAAAACTAATACACTAAAATCGTGCACTGTAGTATTAAGCAAAGGAAGATGGTGTAGACTTACGAGTCATGTGATGTAAAATACACACACCACACATACATTGGGATACAAAAAAAATAATGAATGAAGACAAAAGAAAAACACTTTACAAGAACAATTTATGTATTAGTCGTACACAAGAATAAGTTCAGCCACAACTTTAAAGAATCTGAGACAAGAGAAATTAACTTATTTAGGTGAAAGTTCTTGAGTGCCAGTATTGAATCTCACTAAAATGTGAAACTGTGTCCCTGATCTTTTTCAACTCTCCTTCTCTAGGCCAAGATATGTAACCATAAAAAATTTTTAAAAAATTAAAAGAAAATGGTTAAATCAAAAGTAAATACACATTTAATTTATCAAATTAAAATAAAATCATTACATATATATATATATATATATATATATATATATATATATAAATAGTGTGTGTGCCTTGAGATACGAGCTTACCAACATACATGAGCCAGGGTTTGGCTGTGTGTGTGTTGCAAAAGAGATACAAAAGCAGTTTAATTTAAGCATCCACTAGTTGTCGCAGTGAGTGCCAGGTTTCGAGTATTTTCCTTTGCAGTACATGTGTTCACTTTGCTCTGGAAGGATCTCTGTTGTCTTTTTTGCTGTTATTTTACAAAATTCCATTAGTCACACTATGGCTCCAACAAAAGTAAGTGTAAAAGAGCAGTGATGAAAACCCGAAATGTATAATTTTTGCTTGAGGTAAAGCAGGAATTATTTAAAAAAAAAAAAAAAAACTAAGTAATGTATTTGGTAAGACAGTATGAGTGTTCTAGAGTGACGATAAATAAAAAAACTAAAAAAAAAACTATAAAATTTAAAGAATCAAAAAATTGATTACAGTAATGGATAAAATGCAAATGTTTTTAAGTTTAAAAATTAAAGTGATAAAGTTAATCTTCAGTATCATAGACTAGAATAGCTGTTGCCCGGCCTGTTGGGCTATGACTCGTCTGAAGTTTATGGCTTACTACATTTTATTTGTTTTCAATTTTTTTTTCTCTTTTATTTGTAAACTTCATTTCATATGTTTTTGCTTGTAAGAAACCCCCAAATAAGAAATAGGTGACTTTTAGGAAAGTAAGTAACTTTTTTTTTTATGGGCCTGGAATGGATTGGAAATATTCCCATTAATTTTAATGGGGAAAATTGATTTATGGGCTCATCCTTGAAAGGAATTAACTCTTACCTTTTAAGACATTGCTATATAACAAATAAAAAGAAAATTCAATATGGGCATTTACTCTCACCTTTTGTTTATTAGGCATCAAATGACATCACTTAGCATCCTCCATAGTTTACCTTGACTTTCACAGTCAACCATTAGTATATTTATGAGCATTCTTAAATTTAAAAAAAAAATTGAAAATCTAATATTTTTACTTCTGTTTATAAATACATGTTGCAGAATAAAATCCATTTGCCTTGATAAAGTCCATCAGAGGATAAAACTAGTTGGTAAAGAAGTTTTCCTTTTGTCTTTATTTATATATAAACTCAAACCAAGAGAATATTAAAATCTAGTTAGAAAACAAAACCTTGTGACTGCATATTCCTTATATGAAGAGATACTGAAAAGAAGGGATTCTCCAAAATAGTCTTTATATTTGGTCAAATTCTGAGAGATAACTATTCAGCACTCTTGTAGAGTTGTTGCTATACCATTCTATGGTTGATTCCTTGAGATCTTGGAATAACATTTGTTATATCTTCCTGAAAGGAATGTAGAAATAAGGATCCCTCCCCTTTCTTTTGACTTCTAGAAACACTAGCAACAACTACTTGTTCTCCCCTGCTCCATGAGCATTTTATTCATAGAAGTGTATTCCATAAAAAAAGGTTTGAATATATAAACCTTTTAATGCTTATGAAAAAAAGTTTCACATTTTTTATTTTAATTTATTCTTTTAACAGCAAGATTCTGGATTTGGAGGAAACTCTGCTATGTCTTATAGAGGAGGAGAGAATCGCATCTATGTTGGCAACCTCCCTCCTGACATCCGTGCCCGCGATATCGAAGACCTCTTCTATAAATTTGGCAGGATTACTTTTGTGGATCTGAAAACTCGGAGAGGTCCTCCTTTTGCCTTTGTGGAATTTGAGGATCCAAGGTAAGATAATCTGATTGATTTTTGGGGGACAGGAACCACTTCAACTTAAATGAAAAGACTTGCTACTCTCTCTTTTATTTATTTATATATATATATATATATATATATATATATATATATATATATATATATATATATATATATATATATATAAAAACAATCCTAGAATTGTGAATGTCAAACTTGTTTTTCTTTACAAACTGTATTTGCAGTGGGCTATTATTTGTGAAAGAGAGGGTATTGCAATTTTTTTTTTTTTTTTTTCTAAGACAAAAACTGTTTACTCTTTGATTCCCTTAGGTCTTGTTGATATTCACGTTCATGGGGAGCTTTCTGTGATATTTTAAAATGAATGAAATAATGATCCTTCAGTTAAATTCGGGACTATTTTTTACCCTATTCATGAGCAGCAATTGCTTTCAAGTTAAATCCAGAAGAATAAAAATTTCTATAGCCAACATGTATACATATGTACATATTTAAAAATAAGTTTATTAAAGAAGGAAAAGGTCTTCAAACTAAAGGCCGTAATTATTATTTCTCTGCCTCCCTGAATTAAATAAAAGGTTTGTTTTGAAATTCCCTGACGTTTACCAGGATCAGCAGATGTCTGGAAAGGACAGGCCAGCACACTAGGTGAAATGTGATAACAACAAAGATTATAGTAAATCATGTAAAATAGGATTTATACCAAGATTCATAGTTAGCAATACAAATGTGGGAAGTATTCATATTAAGTGAGGTACTGAAAAATTCTTAGTTGCACCAGGAATAATCTGGAAAATGGGTTAGGCCAAAAAAAAAAAAAAAAAAAACTTTCTTGATGTCTCACTCTCCTTTATCCTGTTCTTGACCTTTTTGTTATTGGTTCGTTTTAGAATTCTAAAGTCGAGTAAATGTTTGTTTAGCATGTTATCTTTAAATTTGAAATCTTTGTTTTAATTAGAGATGCAGAGGATGCAGTCAAAGAGAGGAATGGCTACAATTATGACAACTACAAGCTTCGAGTGGAGTTCCCGCGTGGTACTGGTCCAGGAGGCCGTGGCCGAGGTCGTGGCAAGGGTGGACCCCCTTCCAGAAGATCTCAATACCGAGTTTTTGTCTCGGGTAGGACAATAAATCTTTCCCCTACAAATTTTAACTTTTCTCTTACTGTTATTGTTTTATGCTAATTTCTAATATATTTTGTTTTCTCTTTTTAGAACATGACATAAAAATAGTGCAAATTTTGGCTACATAAGCATTGTTTGTGTTTGTTTATATATATATATATATATATATATATATATATATATATATATATATATATATATATAATCTCCACTAAAAATAACATTTGAATTAATGATAATTGCAATATTCAATCCTTTCAAACAGTAAATGTCACTTTTAACAGTGACCTTTTGAAGAAAAGCTAACTTCTGAAATATAATCAGTCTAAAATGCCCACTGTCCATGTTAAAAAGCACTGTGATGAGATTTTGCTAAACTTGCAACCTCTTTTAAGCATGTCCGGATTACTTTTGTTTCCACTTTATATTGGTATCAGAAAGACCTGAGCAAATTTCTGCTTGTATAAACAATTCCCTGCAATCAAATTGCTCACCTTCAATAATTCACCTAACTACATAATACAATTTTGTTTATATTGGAACTCTCTCTCAAATAAACAAAATAATATAAAGTGTTTACATGTCTCATTGGAACTGCCTGATTTTGTTTATTGAAACTACTGTCTTTAGGCCTTTTTGAAATATGCTCAATAAGAAAATCTTTAATCTTACAGCAGAGATCCCTTTGTTCATGACTTGTTTTTTAAGGAAGTCAAAGCTTTTGAAATCCCCCCCCCTTTCCTGAAGAAGGGAAAGTTCAGACTTCTTAGAATGCAGTTATGTTTTTAGTTTGTTTTTATATTCAAACAGCCTGACTTCGCAAATATCAGAAAGTCCTTTAGAATTGGCACAAACTTCACTTAGGTTTACTGTGGGGGTGGGATAGAATAGCCAGTGTTTGAGTTATGTCTTAAAAACAAAAAAAAACTGCTGTTTTTTATTGTGGTTTCCATCTACTGGTGCCAATTTTTGAGCCTATATCAATAATATAAATACGATGTCAGTGTGTCACTCTTTTTCGACTTTACTCCTATAGGTCATAGCCCAACATGTCGTACCATTTTGGAATCTGGCCAATTCTGTAGTAAATTAAAAACTTTCTGGGTCCACAATCCTGAAATTTTGGATTCCCAAGTTTTCATTAATGTGATTGTTTTTGGCAATTTTTCTCAATAAGTTTTTATAACTTGGAAATAAATTTTGGAATAATTGAAATTAATTGCAAAATCCAGCAAAACTCACCCATGAAATAATTGTTTGTATGAAAAAGTAAGAACCTATGTACATCAAATTCTTAAGTGGTGGCCAAAAAACAATTGAACTTTTTTAAAGGTAAGCTTAAATATTAATGTAATACTTAATGCAGCAATCAATTTTGAGTTCTTTAGTTTGTTGCCTATTGCATAGGGCAGCAGTATGCTTTGCCAAAAAAATCGCTGAAGACTAGATTGCAATGAAGATCCAAGGCTGCCTTGAGGAAGTCCTGTGCAGATGAAAACCCAAGATCAAACAGCAGCTAGGGGAGCTTCCAATGCTGAGAATATGCAAAAACTTAAGGACTCTCAAACTCCTGAACAAGCTGAAGGCCCAATAAAGATCCCTCCACTAGAGATAGCTTACTTACCACCCAATTGGGCGTCTTTTAACCTAGTTCTCTAGTAATTCTCTTCTGAATGCCATTTTAAGCTTTATTATTATTTAGTGTAGCTTTATTCTGTCTCACTGTTCACATAGTACATCATAAAATGGCCTCATTATTTTAATACTTGCCCATTGACAAGGTAAAAAGCAAATTAGAAATGGCTGACATTGTAGGCTAATAAAAAATCAATTGAAATTTTTGTCCAATAGAAAAGCCTGAATTTTGTTGGCAATTACTGAGACTAGCACATAAATCATGATTAAAATCTTGTGGCCATATATGTGCCATTTCATGTACAGCTTGTTGCAAAAGTCAGCGAGTTTAATTTATCTCTTTAAATAAATTCAGGCCACATCCAAGGACATTTGAGGTATTGTCTTATAGTATTAAATAATGCTTTCATGATCACCTACATTCTGGAGGTATAGCTGCATACCATTGTGGCTTACTGCCACACCACATCGAAATGCCAATTCCCTTACGATCACTGAAGTTAATCAACATCGAGCCTGGTCAGTACCTAAATAGGTGACCACACCAGATGCCGTTATGCTTGTATGTGCAGGTGATAAAATTATATGAATTCCCTTTGGTTTTTGTTATATTCACTTGCGTGGGAATGACCTTGGGAAAGATATGAATTCATCTCTTTCAACTGTTATGGGTTAGTAAATGTATCACTAAAACCATTATCTGTTTAAAAAAAAAAAAAAATTTCATAAAATATTTAGATTTTGGCATTGGATAACCCATTGTTTGATATGCCACATAACTAACGGCCCACCAAATCATAGCATTGCTTGTTCTAAAGAAACTAAACACACACTGACTACCTTTTTATTGAATAAGAATTTTTGTCATTTAACAGGTTTGCCCAAATCGGGCAGCTGGCAAGATTTGAAGGACCACATGCGTGAAGCTGGAGACGTCTGCTATGCTGATGTGTTCAACGACGGATCAGGAATGGTTGAATTCCTCAGATATGAAGATATGCGATATGCAGTGAAGTATTTGAGTGACTCAAAATTCAGATCTCATGAGGTAGGAATTTTTGGTCATACTTTTCTAGTTATCAACCTCTGTCAATTATTTGTAGAATTTGGCATTAATGTTAAAATATGCAACTTTGACAACAATTAGTTTTACTGAAATTTAGTATCATCCTAAAAATCATCATTCAAAATAAATGGGAATTATGGAATTGGTACACAAGGTATCCAAACATCAAAAAGTGGATGTTGAATTAGGAAGACCTATTTGCTCAACTTGGTAAGGAATGTGTCAGAAGAAAATTCTTATTTTGGACTCGAAACGTTTATGGCTCTTTTATTCCTATTTTTTTAGGTGTCTAATAGTTGGTGACTATCTCCAGAATTTTGAGCCAAGCCCTTTATTCAATCTGCAGGAGTAACTTGTTCTTCCGCTTTCCATATTTCAAGGACAATTCTTTGTTTTAGTTTATTTTGACTTTTGTATCACTTACCTGTTTTTTCTGCTGAAGTAGGGTATGTGACTTTGCACATTATCCAATCCAGGTATTGAACTCACAACCAAGTCAGATAAAAAAAAAAAAATCGGCACACAGCCTCCTCAGTAGACCTAGCATGAACACCATCTGGGAGCATTTAGTTAAGAGGGGACACTTGAAATTTCCACAAGTACAGATTTACTGTTCCATATAGACATATGTGACTATTTTAAGTCTCTGAAATATCACTAGATTGTTCATGAGGCACATGACCTAGTGGTATAAAGCATTTTTGCTTAAACTATTTTAGTAGTACAGTAGTCACTTACTCTGAGTGGATTGGTTGATTCTTACATGTCAAACCTTATATATTCTATTCAATGGAGAAAAAATGAACAAGTGACATGAAAAAGTAAATGAGATGTCAGCATGGAAAGTAAAATAATTTTTTTTTTCTTCTGCCTCCCATGAATTATTGATTCTGTTCAAAATTCTAATGTTACTGAATAGAAGGCTGGAGATTACAACACACAAAATGTGATCCTAGCATCCAAGATGAATGTGCTGCTGGTCAGATTAGAAAACCAGATAAAATTCCAATGGAAATCTTTTTCTTAATATTGTCTGGAGTTGTGAAGTCGATAATATTCTGATGTTAAATCTGAAAACTGTTCAGAACCTCCACTGAGGATTGAACTATACTAAACCTTTCACTCCAGAGTGAAATCAAAATTTGCAATTGTTGATTTTTGTGTTCTTCGATATGACACTCTGTTTTCTTTTGTAAGCTCTATGGTAGTCAGAAATATTTGTCAGATTATTGTCTAATAAAAATGATGAATAATTAAGTTTGAGCTTTGACCTTTTGAACATGTAAACCTAAGTATTTTCATGAAATCAATAAAAAAAAAAGAGCATAGCATAAGAACAGCCTTCAACTTGAAAAAAAAAAAGTCTAAATGTTTATTAAAAGGAAAGACCAAAATATTTGAAAATTTTTAATCCTTAGCATGTCCAAAATTTTAGTTAAAAATCTTGTTTTTTTTTCTTTTTTAGTCAGGGAAATTAGTAAAAATCAATATTTCAGCCGTTTTTTAGGATTTTTGTAATTCTGTGTTTAAAAATCTTGCAAAAATATACCTTTCTCAAAATTTATTTGATGACAATATTTAAAGTTTAATATCTTTTGAAACAAACATTTTACTTTTTTGCAAAAAAATATATATATATATATATATATATATATATATAGTTTAAAATGAGAAAAACATTTAGCAGTCAAATATATTTTTATTTTTTAAGTACTTTAGCTTTCACCTTTTTGTTTGCTGATACTTTCTGGGAGAAATTAAAAATACTATAAAAAAACAAGTAAAACTATATTTTACTAATCATTCATTTTAAAGCTTATTAAAATCTGTAGACCATGACTATTTTTAAAAGAATTGATTTGTTCTTGTATGTGCAAATGCATAATTTCAAATTATGGATGTCCTAAGCTATGTTATCATTAAAAGGTCACGTGTTTTAAGGGTTGTCGCCCCCTTAAGGGGAAAAAAAAAAACCCTTAATGAAAATTGTTGTCTGCTATTCCATAGATTTTTATGATGACATTCAGTGGTCAATCCGCCATCAATAATTCGAATAACACATCAGAAAAACAGTGATGTTTTCACACATTTTGAACAAACCGTTTTATAGATACTAGAACAATTTTAGATTCTATTTATATAATCATATCGTCAAAAGTTTCAGTGTAAGGGTCTTTAGAGACAAAGGAAAGTCTTAGTTGATGACAGTTTTTGCAGAAAATGTCTGTTTATGGATTTGAAGCAAGACAATGAGAATATAAAGGGAAATCAAGCCTCTCTAATTTCGTGTTATTTATAAGAGATGCTTGAATTTCATTTTCTGTAAATGTTTCACTGGTTGCAGGTCCTCAAATTCCATTTTGGGACAGTGATTAATTCTGACCAATATTACAAATAGGACCACTGATCTTCATAAATTCTACTTGTGGAAAATCATGATAGTCCCTTTCACAGAATTTACCTAGTGGGTCTTTAAAAGCAGTCTGGCTTCTTGTACCATCATCATATTCAAAAACAGCTCTTAATTCTGATATAATGAACAGCCAACTGTATGTAACTTTCAATGGCTCTTCTCCTCCAGAGACTTGTATTCAGAATTTATATTGTCTAGAACAGCCTTAAGGCTGTCAATACTATCAAATTCTTCCAAAGAATTAAAAGCTTCTTCAGTCAGAACACCACCAGTGGCATTTGTAGATCAAACTACTCTCAGCTATTTTCTAGTCTCAGTTCCTGTGTCTTGGGTAAATGTTAAATGGGGTTCTGAGAAAAATATTACTCTAGGGAAATAATAATAAATTAAACACTCACACTCTCTCTCTCTCTCTCACTCACTCACTCTCACACACACACACACACACACACACACACACACACACATACACATATATATTTGCTCGGTCTGGTTATTTCAGTTAACACCACAACAATCTCTGAGATGTTAATTGGATTTTAATTGCATTTCCTAAAATGGGATAAAAATTTTAATGTAAAATATTTCATGCATAGTTTTATATCGTTCCCAACTAGACTTGTCTAAGAGTCTGGTTTCAAAAGTTGAACCACCAATGAAGGCCAACAAAAAAAAATATTCAAGTCTTATGTACAAAAAGCTTGGTTGATCTAGTTTTGTTTACTGCCTGGCAGGTACTGCTGAGGATCAAAGGGTTAAGGCTTTTGTAAAACTTTTGAGGAATTTGTCTAGGCATTGTTACTTGTGTAAACTACCTGTCATTTATTTTTCTTTCTCTCTCTCTCTCCCTCTGTCTTTCGTGTGTGCATGTATGAGGGAAGAATTTTGAAGTTTTGGAGATTGTCTCCTTTCACTGTGAAAACAACTTGTTTAAATGTCTTGCCTTTTTTCTTTTTTTTTTTTTTTTTTTTCTTCCTCTCTATCTTTTCCTCCTTTCAGGGAGAGCAGTCATATGTGCGTGTGAAGCAGGATTATCGAGGGCCTTCTCGTTCCCGAAGTCGCAGCTATTCTCCACGTCGTACCAGGGACTCCCCCAGATACACTCCAATGAGGCTGCGGTCACGTTCCCCGTCTTACTCCAGATCCTTCTCCAGATCGTATTCTCGATCCAGATCTCCCTATTGATCATCTTTTCCTGATACATTATTTCAAGCAATTCTTTCATCTTCATTTTAAGAAAAAGAAAGTTTAGTAAAAAGGAGAAAAAAAAAAAAGCAATGAAGAACAAGTCTGTCTTTGTAGCCACTATTTTTAAACTTGTTTCTGTTTTTTAAAAAAAAAAACAAAAAAACTGATTTTCTATTTTTAATTTCATTTTTTTTAGGTTTTTTTTTTCAGCATCTAGTGAAGAAAATGTTTAATTAGTTCAAAATGAATTCCCTTCTCCCCTTAAATGTCAGTAAATGTTTTTCATTCATTGAGCTTTTTAATCCTTTGATATTTTTTGTCTCTTAAATCCCTTCAGTTTTGAAATTTTTTTCTTTTTTTTTTTTTTTTCTTTTTTTTAAACAAAAAAAAAAAATTGTGTGCGTGCATGTGTGTGTGATTGAAAGCCTGCCCCCTATTGGGCTTGAACATGCCAGCCGTCTTTTGTGTGTTCGTCTGTCTGTCCATCTGTGTTATTGGCTCGACTGCTTTAATGTATGCCCTTGTGCTCCTTTTTCCTAGATCCTGTGGTTCACAATTACTGTGGAGCTGCGAGGGACAGTATTTACACACACAGAACCATCTTCTAGTTCAATGATCAAGGACAACATCAATTACTGCTGTGTTAACGTTCTCGGAAAAGTGGTCTGAGGATTGCAAAACAACCTGGTATGCATCTGTAGTCCTTTCCAAGATTCCAAAATTCATTCCGATTAGTGGGGGATGGAGAAAAATTCTATCTATATAGAAACACACAGTAAATTTCAGAAAAAAAAAAAAAAAAAAATTTCATCTCAGAACTAAAAAACCAACTATGCAAATGTTATCATTTATAAATTTAAAATAAATTTTTGAAGACAGAAAAATTCTGTTTAAGAGTGATAGCTCGTATTTCCCATTGTCAAAGACACACCCTGAGTTTGACTTGCAAAATTTTGTCAAAGGACAAACAGAATACAAAAAATAATCTGTAACCTTCAGCTTGTAGGAAGCAGCATCAATATTTGAGTGATTTGGGTTGAGGGGTGGGGGGAATCATGTTTTTGAGACTGGGAAATACAGTAGATTTGATTGTTAAAACTGATTTTTTTTTTTTTTGGCTGGATGATGTTGGCTTGGCTGTTCTCTGAATCAGCCCCCTCCACCTCTGACTCCCCCTCACACGCCCAAGGAGAAGAGAGGATCCTATCACTTCTAACGACAAGAACAATATTCTTTTTCTTTCTCTCCTCCCCATCTGTATTTTTTTTTTCCCCCTTGAAGGTAAAGATTTTTTTTTTTTTTTTTTTTTTTTTTTCATTTAAAGTAGATTAGCAATAGGGAAATAAGTCTTGAAGATAATTGCAGAGTAATAGCCCCCTCCCTCCACCCTTATGCATTAT